TTTATATTATATTCATATATACATCATATACATATATACATATATTACAAAAATATTTTACAATCGAATATAATAATTGTAACATATTGTGACAACTAACAAATTTCTTTTTTAATTACTTGAAGAGGAAATTCAACCTACAGTTCAAATTAATTTAGATAGAACAAAATACTTCTATAGAAAAAAACATTAATAATGAAACTAGTTAGTACAAATAAATATATCTGTTCATAAAATAATATTATATAATAAATTTATATTATTACAGGCAAAAATAACATGAAAATACAGAAACAATCACAGAAGATAACATAGATACAGATTTATTATACAATAGTCGACTAGTGAATCATTCCATTAGTATCTCCTGACAGAATCATAAATTCACCAACTAAAGTTAAAATTCGAGAAATATACACACGTGAAATTAAAGCTGTGAAAAGAAAATTATCTATAAGTCATTATGAATACAAAAAAACACAGAAGAAATTGGTTACTCTAAAAAATATGTTAAAGAATCTACAAAGCGGAATTTATTAACAGTAGAGGAAAGCGACATATTGCAACATTTAAACGAAGGTGCAAGGGAATTAATAAAGCATGAAATAAGAAAGCGGAGAAATTTGCCTATATCTAGAGTGTATCAATCTAGTTTGCGATAATTTGCGTTATCATTGTATTATTACTCAAAAGCATATAATTATGTTCGGCATAAATTTTACATCCAAAAACATTATCAAAATGATATCGTTCGTTAGATGGAGAACCTGGTATTAACAATGAAGCTATAGAAGCGTAACGAAGCTATAGAACGTTAACAATGAGGCTATTAAATCACGCGTACAATCCATTTCATATAAATTGATAGATGCATTGATGTTTGATGAGATAGCAATACGGCAGCATATCAATTATCATAAAGACAAATTTGTAGGATATATAGATTATGGTACTTATGTTGCATGCGATACAACAAAAATGACAAAAGAAGCATTAGTTTTTTGTGTATAAACCAAGCCTGGAAATTACCTATTGCTTACTATCTAGTAAATGGTATAACTACAAACCAAAAGCAAAATTTGATAACACAATGTTTAATGGTATTGCAACATACATGAAACTGGAATGTTAGTAATATCATTGACATGTGATGGTTTGTCAACTAATTTAAAAATGTTACAGTCTTGGTTGCAAATTTAATACGCATTCAAATAATCTTCAGACATGGTTTAAACATCCATCTGATGACAGCAAAATCAATGTATTTCTTGATCCATGTCACATGTTAAAATTGATATGGAATGTTCTTGGTACTATAAAGGAACTTTTAGATAGTACTGGGAGTAAAATTCAATGGAAATATTTGGAAGATTTACATCAATTACAAGAAACAGAAGATCTGCATCTTGGTAATAAATTGAGGACTAAGCATATAGATCAGAATAAGATGAAAGTTAAATTAGCGACTCATTAGCGACTTCAACTAGCGACATTATTAAGTAAATCAGTTGCGAATGCATTAGAATGTTGCAGAGATACGTTACAATTATCACAATTTAAAGATTATTCGACAACTATTAAATTTATCTCTATTTTTAATGATTTATTTAATATTTTTAATTCTAAAAATATAAGACAATGTGATTTTAAAAAACCAAAAAGTACTAATAATTATCTATAAAATTATCTGTAAATTGCTAAAAAACTCGAAGAATATGCAGAATATATTAAAACATTACTTGTTAAAGAACGAAAAAAAGTGCTTAATTCAAAACTTAAAACAGATTTTCTCGGGTTTCTAATAAATATTGAAAGTTTATTACATATTGTAAGAATTAGACGACCGTAAGCGGTCATGAAAGAGATTCGGAATATAAACAGCTAACAGAGAGGAGTCGTCGTGGTCGTGCAGACTAAGTGTCGGATTGGTAGACAAGGAATCCCGAGTTTAAATCCAGTCGG